GCGTTGTGTTTGGGGAAGGACGGTAGGGAGGCAGATCTGTCATTCTCCTGTGACATTATGTAACAGCAGTAAGTTAGTAATTAAAAAAAAAAAAAAGAAGAAAAAAAAAGAAAATCAACGTACACAGAATGATGACGGTATGATACATATTAGTATATTACATTCATTCTATAATTATCCCATCACATCTTTTCAACTGAAATGCTCTTTTTTTTCAGAAGATGCAACTGTTGGGGATGAGGTTGGGGCGTGCAGGAAGAGCAACGGGAAGTCTATTAGACGGCCTGATTATTTTCTTGTGACAATTTGATTCGCACGTGGCATCATCCTGTGAGCTTTCTTTCAGCGACGGAATCTTGAAAAGCCAGGACGAAGATGCTAACTTCTACCCAGGCTTTATTGCCAAGGCTGTCATCTCTGCACCTGGACCATGCGATTGGTCACATTGGGGGTTATGATGATATGGCTTACTACGGTGTTCAGCCGAATAGAACACACGGTTCTTATCACTGCATCTGGACTGGAAGTTGCCCCGATACGGCTATTATAATATATGTACGCTCTATTCGGGTCGAAACGGTGGTAAGACTTGTTAGGGCTCACTCATATCTAAAGGTGCATAGCTTTCCAGACAGGTGATAGAAACGTGCCACGTTTATCGGTGAAGTGTTTGCAACTTTGCATGAATTAACTATTAAATATTTATGTAATATTTTATTATTTTTATTATTTTTGTATTATAAGGCTAATATAAGCAGTATTTAGTATCTTCTTACTTTGTAGTAGTAAGTTTGTGGTAGTAAGTTTACAACTTTATAATAAATTAAATTAATAAATTATAACTGCTGTTGCAATCAGCACGCACAGCAGATGCAATAGCAGCAGGAGCATAGGGAGATGGAACAAGCAAGGAAGCCCTCGATGACATCCAGTCTTTTGTTGGTTTTGTTCCTTTTTTTTTTTTTTTTCTTTTTTGAATTCCTCCTCCCCTCTCTGCCTTTCCCCTTAATTTTGCTAGGCATTGTCCATCATGGTGGTTTTTTTTTTTTCCCTTCGTTTTTTGCTTTTTTTTTCTCTCCGTCTGCGTGAGGGGAATATGCAATCGTGTACCCTTCTTTTGTTCATTTCATGTTCTCCCTCTTCGCTCTCTGATAGCGTAATAATGGGTGTTCTCCAGGGTAGCCAGGACTAGGTCACATAAGTTAATTTCGCCACGAGCCCCGTCTTAGAAGGCACCAGGATGCTGGCAATGTTAAGGTACAGATGATGCACCTGCAAGGTCTTGCCATGTCCAAACTTACATGGTTGATTTCTGCGCTTCCCTCAATTTGAGTGATGTAGACAATTTTGGCACAGGAGAAAGAGAGAGTAAGAGTTGGATGGGTTTGGTACATTCTATAGACTTGCGCATTGGGCTATTTGCCGGCGTGCCCCAAAACCAGGCCTGGCATTTCAAACACAGGAAGCCATGTTTTCCCCTGCAGCCGTTTTGGCAAACGTTTCAGATGGAGTGGCATCTACAGAAGAAAAGGGGGAAGCCTTGAGGCTTGGAGCAGATATCCCAGAGGCTACCGGGTAGGTTGCATTGGCGCATACTCCTGCTCGTACCAGCCTACCTTCGGTTTGCAACTGGTGCTGCAGATGGGTAGGCATATTGGCAGTTGAATCGCCAACAGGTCGAGACGCACAAGCTGCCCAGGTTTACCCGGGGGGGGGGTTCAGGCAGCAAGCCCTTTCTTCGGACATGTCCCGGAGGTAGAATGTCCACACCTACCATGACTCTGGCATCCACTGCTCCCCTTCTACAGGGGCCTGGTGGCAGTGCTAGGTGCGCTCGACCCGAGGGACAGTGTACTAAGGGGTGTTGCTGTCATTTTGGGAGCTTGTGCTTTCCGGGGATGACCTGCAATTGCTACAGCGTAGCCTCCATTTACTGAATTCAAAAAAAAAACTTTTACGCGATTATTGTCACTTCACCATATTTGTGTTAATTCAATCCAATCTAGTTTATTTTTGCATATCCTTTTTATTTGTTTAGGCAAAATCATTTTTGGTTCACCAAACACTTAGCACAACTACTAGCAGCGACTATTGCAGATATGCACAGGGTAAAACACAGGCTCTCACACAACATTGTACCTAGCACACAATGGTCAACCACAATGGATAGACGCCGATGGGGACATACTCCTGCAGCCTGCTAGCTATATACTGTTCGCACGGGAAGCTGTACTACTGCACTGTAAAATACAGCTTATTTGACATACACTACTGACTAAGGTAAATAAGGATAAGTGGTGTAAGCCTGAAAGGTAAATAACTTATTTGCCTTGAAGGTAAATAACTTATTTACCTTAAAGGATAAAGTGGTGTAATGTAAATATTAAGGAAAGTGGTGTAAGGTAAATCTCTGGTTTTTGGCCATTTTGTTTGAATTTTTTGCCATTTAGCACTAGCCGCGGTAAACAAGAATGTCCAAGGCCACAAATTTGCCATTTAGCACTAGCTGATTTTGAATCTTTGCCATTTAGCACTAGCTGTTTTTGAATCTTTGCCATTTAGCACTAGCTGTTTTTGAATCTTTGCCATTTAGCACTAGTTGTTTTTGAATCTTTGCCATTTAGCACTAGTTGTGGTAAACAAGAATGTCCAAGGTCCACAAATTTGCCATTTCGCATTAGCTGCGGCTGTTTAGCACTATAGAGAGTTGGTCCATTGGTATGGTACCTTGACAATTTTGTGGCCTTGCACATTCTTGTGACCGAGCTCATATGTAATCCATATTTTCTTTCGTTCTCAATTTCGTACGTTGGAGTCGCATCTGGCGACGAAGTATCTTCTGTACACTGAACTGCGGTGACTAATAATGATAACAATATGGTCAAGTGCGCGATCCATTGAGAGAAGGACAGAGAATTGCCGCAGATCTTGGGAAAGATCACCAGGATTACAAATCTTCCAATAACTAGGCAATCTTCATCTACCCAAGCTTCTGCCGAAACTTCTATTGAAACTTCTTCCGAAACTTTCACCTCACGATTGCGAAAGAAAGGGTGGAGGAGATCACATTGGATAGAGTCCGACTCGATGTGGAGTTGAGGACGAGGAATGTGCGATTGAGAGGGGACTCTATAGGTTGGAGAAAAGTGTTGAGAAGCTTACAAAACTAGTGGAAGCCATCGGGACAGCGCATATGGAACAAAGCAAGGAGACCCCAAAGGTCACTTGGGTGGATGAAGGGGAGGAGGAGGAAAAGTTATATTTGAATCATCCGATGATATTGATGGTAGATAAGCCACTACCGCATCGCAAGGGAAATGACTCCTTCAAGACTACAAAAAACATTAACGGAGAAAGGATGGCAATCGCTAGATCAGAAGAGGAACTATATAGCACGAACGATGATATAAATGGCATGAAGCCCTGTAGCACTTACAGCACAAGATAGCTATCCTGAAGACGGACAATGAAGCGTCTAATGACAATCAAGATACGTAGTGAAAAAATCAACATCCGATCACGGATAACATCACAGTTCAATCCTCCTTTGCAAACAGCGATGAAGACAACATCGATCAGTAATAAAATACAAGCACGAAAATCAGGCGTGGCATCTAAGAAGATCGGGAGAAAGTAATGAAAAAAATTGTATTCCCATATTGAGCAGTTTCGCTAGAGACATCACATCGTCTGAATATCAAACAACTAGAAGTTGCACATTATATCTAAGTGTATAAAAAGGTAAGAGCGGCCACAAGGAAAAGGAGGAAAGGAAGACATAGGAAGGATTTTAAGTTCTTAGCTCTTGCCACTCATATCAAAAGAAAAAGGATTTTTTTTTTTTACCCACCAGCTACTACAACGAAGAGTGGTGATAAGAGCATCCACTCCTATCTGTTTCGCCGGTGACTCCGATACACCTGCCGGAAAACGGGTCCAGGGTACCTGCAACTTGGAAATTTCAGAGTCAGATAAGGAAATAATTTACACTGAAGGAGAAATCTGGACTGGGAAATGAAAGTTAATAAAAGATGAGTAGGGGGTTTGTTGTCTACTTTGCTAATCGAAAGGAATGCCTCGATCAATGTTACGCACAAATTGAAAATAGAGCAATATTTATTCTAGAAACTAATATTCCCACAAGGACCCTAAGTACTACCGTCTTCCCCCGAACACAGCGCACCCTCATTTTGGCTGTATCTGGCCGTAAATATATCTTGTATGCATTCATTTTTAGGGTGCGTTATGTTCGGGGGAAGACGATAGCACTACATAAAACACCTTGGGTAAGAAGAGGAGCATACAAGAAATAAATGAAAGGTTGCAAAACGTACATTATATTATTATGTAATAAATGTAAGGTCATAAGAACCAAGGTAAGTAGAGAGGTTATTTGTGGAATAATTAAACTCTTGCCATAATGCAAGGCGTAAAGATGAGGGAACGTGTGATTGTATGGGTTATATTATTATATGTCATTTTGAGACGTGCTTTTTAGAAATTAAGGTCGGTAGACATTAATTCAAATTATACATTCCATAGTACATGTATTATGTACAACAATAAGAAGTTAAGAACCAAGAAAAGTAGAGGAATTATTTGTGCTTGCCATAAAGTATGCCATGGCATAAATCTGAGGTATCGTGCGTCTTGAGACAATTATAAAGGTGTTTCTTTTTATACATCAGAAGTGTGTTATTTTTGTCATGTCAAATGATGTGGTCCCGCAAAGAACTCGTCACAAGAGCAAGAATAATACTCGCAAAAAGCAAAGTGATTGGGGATGTTGGACTACCTTCGGGGAGATGTAATGAAGAATCTTGAAGATGCCAAATTCTTTTTGTGTGAATACTCTGAATAGGGAATTTCCAAAATCAATAGGCATATTGCTTTTCATGTAAGCAAAGTGGTTAATCATAACTCTATTTGAAGTTTGAACACGAGAAATACGTCTGACAAGGAAATTGGAGTACAAGAAGATGGTTAGGGACATGTTTTTGGATTCTGTATCGTTTTCAACAGCTTGTAGGTAGAATTGCTTCAGTGGACTAGGCAAAAGGTGTGTAGGTGTGAGCAGCTAGCGAATAGTTCCCCCCACATATTCATGTTGTCGAATGACTGTTTCCTGGTGTTCCATTGGCGAGGGACATGTTTTTGGGTTATGTATCGTATTCAATAACACATGAATGTGGAATTGCTTCGGTAGACTAGGCAAAAAGCGGTGATAAGCAACCGGACTGCCGCGCCCCAGACTAGATAAGGCTTTTGTGTCTTCACAAAAAAAAAAAAAAAAAAAAAAAAAAAAAGATGACTAGGTGTGACCGGCTATACCCCACGCATATTCATGTTGTTGAAAAACAGTTGAATGACTGTTTCCTGGTGTTCCATCGGCACACGATCACAATTTGCAATACCTGTTCATTAAAAAAAAAAAAAAGACGTAGACTTTTACGAGTCAGTCGTTCAGCTTGTTCCGCGATTTTTCGAAACGTGGCATAATTTAATAAAATGAACTTCAAAATAATGATGAAGTAAACCAGCTGGCTGCGAGATGTGGCCTCGAAAGCAGAATGTGCTCAATGGATGTCCAAATGAAATAGAGCAATGAAAATTTGACATGGGCTTATACTTTGATTGGTTGGGTAATTTGGGTTGCACCATAAGAAAATGGTTGAGGTATATTTGAGCTGGAAGACTAAGAATGGAAGCAGCAAACGATGATGCATGCGAACACCAGAAAAGAATTTTTTGACCGGAACATAATGAATAACTGTTCGATGACAACACTAGGAATCTCAATATCCTTCACACTCTCTCTTCACTTCAAACGTGAGTGTTTTTTTTCGCTCTCCTCTACCTAGACCCTTCGAACCTGCATTTATTTACTCACACCTGCCCTCGTCCCTGTAATTTTTTTTTTCGCGTGTTAACCCAGCCTAGCTGAGTTTGTTTCAAAGTTTTGCTCCTTCACCGGAGCTGCCTAACACCAAAAAAAAAACCTCACTCGGACCTGATTTTTCCTTTTTCCTTCACTCTCTGACCCGCTGGCCTTGCAATTGCCTGCTCAGTGTACTCACACTTGCCCTCGCCCAAGCCTTTTCTGGCAGTGATTGCACACAGTCAGACCAAGAATCCCTAGTGTACGTACAGCCTAAGGTAAGGGTATATATTATATATACCCTCACTCCGACTTTCCTGAATGAATCTGGCCATGATTCTATTCATGTACAGCCAAAATATGCCCTAAGGCTACCATGTACCTGCATGTTATAACTGCTGCTCATTCATCACTTGCCTCCCTTTGCTTTTGGCCTGGGCACCCGTGCCCTCATAATAATCTAGTCGAGAGAAGAGGCATAAAAAGAGGAAGGGAGAGTATGGGAGAGAGATGGAGTTCCTAAAAAAGATTACATTAACAAGCATCTTCTCCAGCCTACAAAAGCCACTATTTCCTGTCCACCATGCAGATCCATATGGCTTCTTTGTGGTTTAAAGCACCAGTACCTTGCCCAGCCTTTGAAGCTGAGCCTGAAAATGCCCTGCGCACCAGAAAAAAAATGAACAGGCACGGGCCT